AATTTCAATAGAAAAGGCAAAATAAAAACACCCCCTATCAAACGCCCCTGTGCAACTACCTGAACATATTAAGAAGAAAATTTAATCCTATAGTTAATAAGATAAATCGACACAAGATATTGCAACGGAGCAATATATGTAATTTCTAGTTGAGACCACCCAGTAGCAAAGCCGGCATCACTGGCTGGTGCGACATATTTTTCACGCTCAATACATTTAACGCGATATAACAATTAATGGGTTCTGTCGTACAGATGCTACATCGTTATTAGTTCAGTCACACCGTCATTAAAGCTGTAACAGCGATCACTTCAAACCTACTGTTAGTTAAAACCGCACCAGTACCTACAAACGTACATATCAGTAATATAAGCTAAAAGAGTTTAATAAATTAAATTCTAGGTACTGTTCAACGGTGTATATCGCGTTTTTATGTATGGTCACCGATGTTTCCGTCAATTCTTGACCGATTATACAACTTAATGGATCGAATTTAAATGAGATCATATTTAAATTTTATCGAAATCGAATAGATAGTTCTCGTTTTATAACAAAATAAAATACGATTTTAACAATAACCTAAATATTTAGATGATATGTATTGTGTTTCATGTATCTCAACTAAAAACCAAAAGATTGCGTTTTTTTTTAATTTCATTCAAAATTCGAAAGGAGGATTTTCTATATTAAAGGAGTATGTTTATTTTTTTCTTATGTAAATGTATGAACCAATTTCAAAACTACAGAAGACCTCAACTCGACTACGACAATAGCATTTTCTTGAATAAGCCGCTTTTGAGATAATTTTTACTATAATGACTGTATGTAACAAAATAAAGAGAAAAAAATAATAAGAAATGTGACATGTAATTTTTCTATTCCTAAAAATATTAATATGTATAAAACCTAATATACATAAATTAATATTTGAAATAACTTTTACACACCTTTTTAGATGCATTTATTTTTCTAACAATCGTTTCAATCGAAGTTTGTTAAAACTATTGTTGTGCTGTCAATTTTACTTATCTATATCTTTATATCTTCACTTGAAATATGAAACCCATACTTCCAAACCTGTTCAATGCATCGGCAGTGTTATCAACCCACTAGCTCTCCACGTACAAATGAAAAACACTTAAAGACCCACTTTGTCCGTGGTACTCTGAGATCGGATTCTCCAGTATAGCATTGCGAATGCGAAATTGATCAAATATTATAGTGAATTATATTCAAATTTATGCGTAGAATATGAAATTGGCACAGCATTGACAGACATCTTATGAGCGGCATCTATCATGGTGATGGATGAAGACGGGAGCGGGTCCCGTTCAATAGCGGGTTGTTTAACAAACAATCGGGACTTCGGCGAACTCTAACAGGGTCTGGATCACCTGTCCACGCACACACATCTCCGCGCAGACTAGCCGCTGCAGTAAAAGATTATAATTTTAAAATACAATCGATTAAGCATTTCATATTAAGATATTTCTTTGGGAAGGGCAGATTATGTGATAAAATAAAACATAATAAGTTACACAATATTGTTGAAAAGAAAAAACAATATAATATTTATCGGGTAGAAAAGGAACTGATACTGACACCTGTGAATATTCATCAGGGTTCATTATAGCTTCGCTCGTTTGGAAATAAAACTCACCACTGAGGATCTTTAAGATTCCATCAGCCTATACCTTATTAAATACAATTGCCTAAATAAAACGAGTTAAGAAATAAGTTATATAGTCGGTGTCTCAACAGGTCGCCTAAACGCATCACCGGTCGCGCGCGTCGCAGCTCAAAGGGAATCGTGTCATGATCGCAAATTGATATCTCAGAAGTACAAGTGAAACGAGATAGAGCTGCGGCCGCTCCAGGCTCATTATCTAATTAACGAAGCAATTGATGGTCTCATACTGCCATCCCCGTATCGCCACCGCTAACCGCTTTAATTGCAGTGCAAGCAGCACTCACTGTGTCATGTAACGTACAATTGTATAAATGTGCTGTACCTAGCCATAAGGATAAAAAAAAACTCATATGTCCCACGGAATTCTAACGTTATAAAGATTCTTCTATTGCTTATTTTTTTATTTTTCGAGGAATTCCTTTAATTCAGTGCGATGAAGAGATTCGAGAGAAAGTTGATATAGCTACCTATTATTTAAATACTCTATCTATATCTTTGCCAGGAGCTCCACAAAACGCAAGTCCTTCATTTCCGTAATTTTCAAAACAGTTTTCAGATAATAAAATTGATAAATCAATAGGATATTTTCAAAATTTGAAGTTAACCACTTAGGTGATTTCGGAAGCGGCTAGTTTAATGTTATGTTTATTTCCATTGTATGCAAACTCAATTGTTGAGTTTATTTAAATTAAGTTACATAATAATATTTAAATAAATTAAACATTAGAAAATTTACGATTTGATTAATAAAATGAAGGTTGGGCAACATTCATTCTACAGAACTTTAGTGTCTTTTTTCTTATTCGTTATGATAAAAAGTGTGACATAAAAACCTCCTTTTTAAAAAAAATACAAGCTAACTAACTGACGGCACATTTCTGTCAAACAGTTACACTATCAAAATATGGCATAGGCCCTACTTCACAGACGGATCTCATTGCGTGCGTGTGGTCGATTCGTAAATTTTGAAGCTCGCCTCGCTCGGCGGCCAGCGCGAGCGCATAAACCAAGTGATCGAACCGCCCTGGTTTAAATCCGACCACTGACGCTACCCTATTTACACTTAGAGTCGTTACTTTGTGGCATCATTATGAGATGGACATTAATATTAATATAAAGACTGCCCTTATAGTAAATTATTAAAGTGTGTGCGTTTGTTCGTTTCCTTGAAAATTTTAATTATCCTCAAACACGTGGATAAAACTGAAATTTACAGCAAATGCTGTGTTGGTCACCCAAACATTACTCTTACTTTTATGCTTAAATAAAGCTATATTGTTATAATTCAAAAATAAAGTAGTAATATTTTGAATTTCCACAATACAAAAAGTTAAATTTCACGTAATCGATACAGCCGAGAATCTAACTCGATGCCTCAAATGTGACATGTTCTTCTCAATCCGTGCTGTTCTATTTCAATCACTTAGTAAATTCATGAAACTCGTGTGCCCGTCGTACAGGCGTCGTACAGCTCACTAATAATTGTAAGTACGAACCACTAAAGGGTAACTCGACCGCAAACACTGTGTTTATTTTTGTGTTATGAAAGTAAAATACAACATTAATTGCTTAGAACTTTAGTAAAAATCTACCGACTCGCCTCAATAGTCGAAAGGCACACCCCCAATTAAAAAGACATATTTTTAATTGTTTAATGGATTCATTTTATTGAATAAATGCTACATTTGTAACAATACTAATAAATCGTAATTGTTTGTCATCTCGAAAAGTTAACTGCATAATTACAGTAGAGATACAACTTGTGATAACGCAAATTAGTCACGGTAACTCAAACTAGCTAAATCAAGTTTATGCTCTATTGTAAGTAATGTTACAAATTGACTAAACGCATTTGAAATAAAATCAAGGAGGAATGACATAGTTTGGTAGTTTTATGACAGGTTTTAGAGAAACAATGAACATTACCAAACTGATTGTAGGATCGTCAGCCTAAGGTCACGACTGTAGATAATAAACTTAAACAATTAAGTAACAAAGTTTGTTATTAGTTCCTAGTAGAAAAATAGATTGAAATATTTCTTAATGATGAATTCTGTCTTGCTCTTCGTTTTCAAAGGTTTTGCCACAAAGCAAACCGAGAGGGGTGTGTCGGTAGGCAGATGAGGACGGTACATCGGACGATTTATGGTCAATGCTGGCCGATAATTTTAAATTATTAGTTTTACGCGTTCGAATCCGCGTTGTCCTGTCTTGCGACAGATAATCTCTTACTGGACGCCTCCACCGTAGGGATAATAGCTTAAATATAGAAAATTATATTATAAACACAAAAAATAAAATGAAGAATATTACAGAAAAGGTTTTTCATTTCACATAAGAACTCAGCGGAACGTCGTGTGTCCTCTTCTATATTAACTTTAAATAAAAAACGTCGTACTGTAGCCTACTATAACTATATGTTAAATGTTTTAATACAATTGCAGGTGTTACAGCAGGTGTTTTGTAACAATGTATAAATAGCGAATTAATGTAAAATAACCAGCCGAGTCCCCATCTATAGAGTCACCCTGTAGCTTTTTCCGTTTAGGTTACAGAGCCAAATATGTATGGTGTATTTATATTCATTGTGTCTGCTCACTATATTGTGTCAGTTGATGAGTGTGTATGGCACCATTCACCACGTCTGATACACCACATAAATGGGCGAGCGTGAAATTGCACGGGGTCAACGACCCGACAGTTAGGTGGTTAGTTCAGGCGACGCGTCTTCCACTTGTCTACCAGACCATTGTATGCAGTCAGAGATGAGATGTAATTGAGTTATCAACTATCATACCTACTGGTTCTGTTAAAAAGCAATGAAATTGTTCTAAACGACTTTAACTAAGTTGAATAAAAAAATAAAAAAGTTTTTTTTTTCCCCTCCTTCTTTTCTTAGTGTAAAATACTAATCCGTTTATTACTATTGAATATAGTAGTATCAGAGTTTCTGGAAGTCCATTGCAATAAAGATAAAACTATGTTATCTAGTAACTTCCTTACCCAAACAGTACCCATAGAATATTTGTGCACCGCCCGCAAATAAATACACATGCACAAGCGGCAAATAAGTCCCGCAACCATCCCCGAATAATACGTAAAGGATCTTGGAGTTGTCGAGGCAGGTGGCAGCGTCGCGAGATTTGTTGCATAACGCATTTGCCCTACGATAAAAAGGGCATACGAATATGCTATATTATAGAAGTACATAGATTAATGTCTTATTATATTATATTGCATGTATATTTGTAGTAGATATACAATACCTAGTACAGTAAGTGTTGGCACGTTATAATGGAGCAGTGCTTACCTGCTGTTCTGATGTAACCTCTTCTCTACAGCTGTCATCTGAAAAGAAAAACTAAATTTAATACAAAAATTCACACAATAAATAAATATTACATATAACGTTAGAATATAAATAAAGCACATTTTATCACTTGTATTATGGAAATCCGAAACCAGAACAATATAACGGATATATCGAACCAGTTGACTGTCTATGTTTTATATCTTAAATCGTCCATTTTATTCTTAGCTGAACCAGTAATAACTAAGTAAATTTCATAACAAGTCAGTCTACCCACCTACTTTAAAACACCGATAATCTTAAAATTGCCTATTAGTGTATTAATAAATATTTCCACAATTTCGCTCACCTAACAAGAGTTGAACCTGCGGATTATTAACCTCGTATTTATGGCGCGCAGTCACGCGTATAAAACATTACAAGTTTTAACGAACCACAAAAAAACTGGATATAAAAAATAACAGAAAACAAAATGTCTCTACGATTTTTATACTTGTGTTGTGCGTGGCTTAAATAACTAACCCGAGTAAGGGTAAAATTTTTCAAAATACTTTCATAGCGATCCTCTACGTCATAACAACTATTATTGATATAATTTCAGCTCTTTCCAGAAATATGAGCCAAGCGTTGGTAGATCAGTCAGTCATCTTTCCTTTTATATGTCAGGCAACATAACATTTTAAAAGCTGACTACTGAAACATTTTCACATTATTTTACAAATAATTTAATGAAATAAATAAATATGTATTTATGTGTTCGTGATTAATAATTTCCAGTTTCCACGACATATGGTACTAAAAACGAATATTATGTAAGTTCTACATATTAACTAGATGTCTACCCGCAAACTTCGTCCGCGTGGGTTTCTGAAAGTTATCCTATCATAAGGGTAACAAGTGTATTCTATGTCAATCCAAGATGTAATCCCTGTGCCAAATATAATTAAATTTCATTCACTTTCGTCCAACTTATGTTAGCGTGAAGGAGTATCTAATAAATATCTTCCGCCAGACACAATATTACTACGAAAACAAATTGAGTGTAACATTATTATAATTATTTGTACTTTCCACGGGGCCTCACTTTCATCTTCACAATAAATATAATACATCTAGGTTCATTATTATCACTGTCAGAGACAGTCTAACACTGTTTACGACAAACAAAACGCCACAGCTGGAATTAGATAATAGAATACAATTGAGACGCAAGAGAATAGATGTCCTCTAAATAAAACGATACTTTTTAAAACAATGATATTATTAATTTGCCAATAGAAACTGTTCCACGTGAAATTTACATATTAAGGAAATTATTAAAATTGGAACGTGTTAAAACTTAGGTTATTTTCATAAGATTGCTAATTTAAAGCAAACATCTAACTTATTCGCATATGTAATCTGAAAAATGAGAGACATTAAAATTCTCATAAAAAAATTACATTCGACAAATCTTTCTATCTAACACAAGGTGAACTAACCTCGACATCGTGGTTCACTAAGGTACAGGTAAAATTGCAAGCTATCCGTATTCGTTCGTATATTGCTCTTATAAAGAACAGTTATATGCCTTCAAGACCGGAAAAAGAAACCAGAACTGATCCTAGTAATTTTATAGGAGTAATTAAATATACAAACACAGCCCAGCAGAAACATAATTAGAGGTGATCATAGGGAATAAAAAATATTATAAATAGCGCATAACAACAATAAAAGTTTAATTTTTAAAGTCATTTCGTTAAAGATTTTTTTCAAACAGACAAGACTGAACTGGAGATGTAATAAATACGCTGTAAATCCTAACAAAGATCGACTGGATATAATAAATGGATGGAAGACCAACTAACAACCGGTCGCATAAAATAAGTCGACGCGGAAACATCAAAAGAATTTCGCTCCAAAAAGATAACGATGTGAGCAAATACGGAGATTTACTTCGACAGTCTCTGGGCACCGCAGTTGCACAGTGCGTTCACCCGCGGCCCGCTCGTGACAAGCCCATCCTGGCATGACATTATAACATACACTCATCCACAACAAACAAACGTGAAATTTTCCACAGCCTTCCTGCCTCAACGCAAGACACAATTCCGACTAAACACCAGATATAAGCTGGCGTCACAGTATAAAAACCTTTCCGAATAATACGACATTATGTTATACGCGTAACGAGACATTTAAAATACATACATCTTCGACTGTATGAAGCACATTCCACATTATGATTTCCTTGATTGTTACAAATAACATTGCCGACTACTTCAAACGTTGTGCAAAAGCAGATTTCTGTAACACTAATTTATAGTTCAGTGCCTTCCCATAAAGATAAATATTTTTTTAAACTTGTATAACTGTTAATTTCGTGGTATTACGTCAGTAAACAACACTTTATGAAATTATGACGTTAAATAAAATCTAGGTCAACGATCTTTTATACTAAATGTAATATTCGAGACTTATAATTAACAACCGCCAAGTAAATTTAATCCAAGGTCATCAGCTGTTAGTGGTGCACGTGCACATTTAGTCTGAGGTGCATGCAGTGTGCACATCACAAATAACAGGGCGGCATGCGCATGCGCCTGCGCCCGCGCCCGCCGCCGGCCGGCGACACACCGGACACGTACCACGTAATTGGTACAAGACACGTCGCAGTAACGACCGGCGTCTTATTCAATTTGTGATCACCGCAGACATAAAAATACAAATATAAAAATAGATTTGCTCCATCACAAAAAGTAGTATATTTTTAAATACGGAAGGATCAAATAGCTATTTAATTTAAAATTTCGACAATTACTTTTGATATAATTTGATAAAATATCACTGTTGTTGTCACGATATTTTTAATTAATTTTGGTGTTTTAAGAGACAAAAAGCGTTAACCAGTATATTTCGAAATGAATATAATACGCCCCTCGGGTATCAGGCCCGGTCGGACCCAGCCATAGCTCCTAGGAACGAGTCAGACCGGGCATCAAACCTTAATGTAGCAAATATTCATTAATAAAACAAAATAATCCTGATTAGACAACTAATACCATTTTTCAAAAAACCTTATATTTTCATAATATACGTATACGTAAAGATCTGGTTGCACCACACCACAACGAAGAATTATTACAGAATTCATTAATATCGTCCTTCTATGCTTATAATATAGAAATAAGAGACTAAACACAATCAACAATTTAGAACACAAAAAACATGACGGCGTAGAAAAACTTAATATGATTTTTTTTTACTATTATAAAATCGTGACGTGAACTCTAATAGAACTATTAAAGCATTTTTGGGAACTTAACGACACATGTCATTTCCGTAATCGGACCACAATTTGCTACACATTATTAACATAATAAAATAAAGGATAAAGGACATAAAATCAAGTTTTCCACACCACCACTTTATTCAATCTACTGACACGCATATATTTGCTAGTGACCAGAAATACAATTTTAAAAGGTTTCACATATTTTACATTTTTCACCATTAATAAAATGGCAAGAAAATTATCCCAAACTTATCCCAAATTGGAATATTTAATTCCAATTGTCCTTTATTAACCAGTTCACTTACATTATAATAATTTGGAATCTTTCGCGTATCTCATAAATTTTGCCGCAGTTAACAAGCTGACAATATGCATACTAACGTCTAGTATTGCCTGATATGGGTCTTTCTACGTTAAAGGAGCATCTAATATTAAGAAGAGTGGCACGATATAGATATTTGAAATAACATATTTTTCCAATAAAGAACTATGTAAACAGATATTTTGTATACTTGTTGAAGATGGCCAGTTAGTTTATCTATTTTTACAAGAGTTTTTACGTACCAGGGGAGACACAGGATCCAGGGTAGAGACATGAAGGCCAGAGTAGGATACTTTACCTTACAGGGGAAATATACATTGAAAGAAAAACAATTTTATCCGTAAGAATCAACTTTAATACTAAACTTTATGTAATATTTTACAACTATAAGAACAGACTTAAATTTCAATACAGTCTTTTAATGTTACTATAATTATTAGGACATAGAAAACAAAATTACTAACAACAAGTATCTACTAACAAAAATCACAGTATTTTTTTCTATTCGTTCTTAAAGAAAATACTTAAATTATTTAATGGCACATAAGTTGCATGTAATGCGATGCGATATAAAAATATAGAGCATGAATACTCTGTTAAAACATAAATATAAATTGGAACTTCCATTTAAAGAAATAAAATCATATAAAAAGATAAATGAGATCATGGCTTTTCAAATACGTTAATACTTTAATAATTGCTTGCATTTTCGGAAACAGTGGCACAAGGCAGAGAAGATTTTTGTAGCTGCTTTGACAGTCTGTAGTTGATTAATGGCTCGTCGTCAGATTCAGACCCAAAGACATTGTCAACATTAAGGCGCGGTCTCGTATTCTTTGTTGCAAATTTCATGGTACCAAGCACAAAGTGATTGCTGGCCTCAGGATTGCAGAAGCAACTCAAGCTCTTCATCGTTAAGCGGTTGGGTAGAAATATACTTCCTGTTACTTGATGGACCTTCATGGTACCTGAGAAAGCTTTCAAATCTTCAGTGTTAAGTTCCTCTTCGTTCTTTAAAATGTCATCGTCACTAATAGTCACCACTTTTATATTGGGACAGTTTTTTTGGAGGGCGTTCGTGAAATCTTCCAGCGATGAAATGTCGTTCCCAGCTCCAACAATTCTATCCGCAGTTCTTTTGCACGTCGCACCTACTCCATCAGGAGCTCCCTTGCCGTGACCAGCTTCGTAGTAATTCCATGTGAAGTTTATGACATTTGGGTAAAAATCATGTAATTTTGTTGCCAATGCATGGAACATGATTTTATTTCGGTATTGTGTGACCGGCCCATCACTTAGAAAATGCAAATTGGTTACTTCTGTGGGAAGGCTGTCAAGTATGGGCTGCAAATGTGCCCAAATAGCTGGCGGAGAGTGAGACAAATTTTTGGAAAGAGTGCAATAACAGGAGCATTTTAATTCTCCATTATTTTCTTTGGTGTAAACCACAACCGTATGGATACTTATCTGCTCTCTCGATCCTCCGAAATGAAACGATTGCACTTCTTGAGCGTATTTTGTTTGATAATTCTCACTGAAATCAACGTGAATAATAGCATCTTGCTCTGTCAGTGTTTCCTTTTTTGATTTTATAGCCATATATTGATGCACTATATTCAATTCGTATCGAAGCAAAATTTCGGTTTTACTTTGCAGGTCTAAAATTAAATCTCGGGGGTATATTTCTATTGTATTTTTTCGCCACTTTATAACTTTCCGTGTCTTTTTAGTTTTCATATCGAAATAATCTTGAAGTACAGATTGCCACTTTTTATAGAGTAGTGGATGAGAATTATCAAATTCTTTGTAGTAGAGGTTTTTGTTAATACAGGTCTCACATTGTCTCGAAAGACATTTTTCATCGTATCTGTCGCAACAAATTGTATTTAAAAGACCCACGTAGTTTGACACCGATATTATCTTTGCTTGGTGTAGAGAATTTAAAATCAAATCAATGTTATAATGCGTTACACACAAGCAAGTGTCACGTTTGTCATAGCGCGACTGGACAACCCAAAAGGGACGGAACTTGCAGAAAAGTGCATAACAAATTTTAATGTTGGACTTTTCTATGAAAAGTTTGTGCAAGTTTAATAAGGTATCCAACATAACTCGTTTCTGTTTTCTCACTCCTTGTTTTGTTATATTTTTTCCATTCCTTTCGCTTTTGTTCGGTTAATGTTAGTTTCTGTTTTCTTTTTTTTACAGGCTTCAGTTTCTTTTCTTTTTCTAAAACTCTGTATTTTGTCACCAATTTTCCGCTTATCATTCTCTGAAACAATCTTTTCTCTTTTTGGGTTGAAAGTTCCGAAAAATTATCTTTTAATTGTTGAGTAAGAACTTCTTCACATAATAATTTTTTCTTGACAATATCTCTCGATTGTGGAGAATTAAGTATCTTGTCAACTTTTGAGTTTGGAGTTAGCTTTTTATTTGGTTTGTTGGATCTTTGAAGTTGTTTTTTATAACGTTGTACAGTTGATTTAAGTTTAGCTATTTGAGCAGCCTGTTTTTTTATCAATAAATTTCTTGCACGCCTTGCACGGATCGACCTCTGCCGTCCAGCTTGCATTCGTTGGTTATTATTTTCATTGATAGGGACTTCATTGTCTGAACTAGGTGGGGTTACAGGGGCATTACTAATATCTTGAAGTGCTAAACGTCGTCTCCGTTGTTTTGCTTTTTCTTTCCATAATTTTCTAGCTTTTCGTTTTTCTCTGGGTGTCATTTGATTTACAGTCTTAATAGTTCCTTTTTCTTTTTTTCTTTCATATTTCTTTTTTTCCTTTTCTTTCTGCTGCGCATACTTTTCGGGATCATTTTTTATGCGTTGGTACCGCAATCTTTCAGCCACACGCTTCTTTTCTAAACGTTCCTCACGAGTTAGTTTTTTTCGGGGAGCCATGATCTAAAATAAAGAGAAATTACAGCTTAAAGACATTAAATATGTTATTCGTGGGATATTTTATAGCCACACACATAATTATTTTAAGTCAAGCCTGTCCAAATAGACAGCAAAATAGCGTATAAAACTCCGAATATAAAACTACTACATAGTGTAGAAGTAACGTACACCATAACTCAAATTAAAAAAAAAACGTATTTATGTTAACAAATCACTCTTTTACGAAAGATAAATATGTAGGGGAAGTTTGGCACCATTCGTACACGGGGAACCTTCATACAGTCACTCCTACATCTTGTAGAAAAGTCTATTTATTACGACTTTGTGTTAGTGGATAGGCGCCGGCGACTGCCAGTTGTCCACGAAGTTAGCCACACATGCAGCCACTGCGAGCGAAACTAGAGAACTTAAAGTGTTTTGGCATGCTCTTAGTAAATACTTTGTTAATGTTTTTGGATCTTCCGTGCTTTAATTACACGTCAAATTTTACTGGATTATTGCTTAATCGTAAGTGAATACGATTAAGATAATAATAATATATCTATTATGTGTATTTTTCTACGTGGGTTTTGTGTTAGAATAAATAATTTTATTCTTGATCTTCGGGGCACGTTCGTACATTTCCAGCAAGGGCACATTCATACGCGTATGTATATACCCCCTAACCCCCTGTGTGCTAACAATTTTTATTATTATATCAGAAAATTTAGAAAAAAATGATCGGAATTTTAAGAAGAAAAGGCAGACACGTTCCCAATATTCATTAAATGAGTTTTTTGCGTCTGTAAAAGGTATTTTTATATAGTAAAAGACAAATAGTTTTACTGAAAAGACTTATCAATTGAAAAAGTTCAAAAACACATTTCGGAATCACGATATTGGAAGTCACAACACTATCAAATGATTATGATAAAGTTTTGAATTATAAATTGTAATGAAACTGGCCTCGCTGATATAGAGTGGATGCACGGTTTTCGTAAAAAAGATAGTTAGACTCTAAACGACTTATAGGCATATGTCGTTTTGTTTATTACATCGTTGATTAGTTTGAGATCAATGAAAAAAATTTTTTTTTAATTATTTTGTTATTTTACTCAATATATATGAAGTTACCACACTGTCTGAATGTTCCCCGGTCCATGTACGATTGTACCCCGTAATAGGGGTAGATTCGGACATTCATAAGCTGTTAGTAAAATTCAATCCTTTGATATATTATACAAGATATCGGCTTTGAACTTTTTAAATAATGAGCAGAAAGTATGCTTTATGTTTTAATAAGTAATTGAGTAATTTATCTTTGATTATCAATATTTTAAAAATCATTGACTAAAAAGTGTACGAATGGTGCCAATCTTCCCCTACAATACTAAGAAAGTACTGATATGGTACTTTCGTATTTACCCTGGATGTAAGGTCTCTACCCTGGCATTTCATGAGGCAGGGGAAATATGGCAGGGTAGAGACGTTTTCATTGAAAAAAGGATACTATCAGAAAAGTATGTACTGTTACGCAAAAACAAACTAACACGGTAACTAGGCAGAAATTAAAGTAATAACAAAATACAAACAAACTTTTAGTATGAATAACAATTCAATAAAACTTACCAGTGGAGAGATGGCACTGACTGACACATCCGCGCGAAACGAGTGGCGTGGTCGGACTGTCCGCCAATGAGAGCACGCGATTCGCTCGGATGACGTTTGTAGCTAAGTTCACTTTGAAACAAATGCTCCAAGACTTAAATTTGCTACACCTTCGCACTTAAACGCCATTTTTAAAAGGACCAAAAATGTCCAGGGGAGGAGACATAAAATACGAGGGACAAAACTTGCGTTATTTTTAAAAATAGAAATTATGTTTATTTTTGAGTTGATTTAAGTATTCAAAATGATTGATTACGCATCTTTTTGAAATAAATAAAGCTCAGAACAGGATATATAAGAAATGTATTAAATTTCAAAAACTCTGTTACAGAATAGTAAAGGGACAGGCCAGGGTAGATACTTTTTTATCGGTTAACATGCAATTATACCCAAACTAAGCTAATTTAGATATTGCAATTAAGTGGTATCATAGTAATTGTTATTTACTATAATTTATTATTGTCATTTCCTTCAAATTTTCAAATAATGTATGATTTTTTAATGTTGACACCTATTGTCCCTCTTAACGTAGAAATACCCATATATTAATAATTCTGTTTAACCGAGATAATTATAATTATCTCGGTTAAACAGAATGTCAACACCTAGATCTAAATTTCGACGTCAAATTTCTTTTCAAATTGGAACACTTGACAATTCGCAATTCACATCTCACCTCGGTCGCATCTACTGATGCGTATCATATTCTAACCAGTTATAATCAAACAACCGTGCTACGATGCATTGGAGTCACCTTGGAGATAAGATATCAGCTCCAATTTTTCTGTTTGTTTACATCAAAGATTCTGTTCTTACCTCTAATTCATATACAACTACAAAATACAATAATATTAACAAATGTTTCTGAATATTTACAAGCACGTCTAAATCTTTGTAAATAGAATTTACATCATGTCGAACAAAATGAGGAGTCAAGTAAATATGTATGACAGGAAAACAACACTAACCTACTTAGCTTAAAACTACAATTATAAAGATTCGTTTGCAAATCAAACAAGAAGGCAAGAACGAATTTTTTCAAACGTCTCCGCATTCGCATTTAGTCAAATTTCTAACAACACACATGTTGTCATCGCGTCTAGACGCAAACTACATTTGCGTTATGTTTGTAAACAAACCAGCTGGTAGATCAAACAGGGCATTGTGCGGAGTTTCAAGAGTCACGTGTGCCGTTAACACAGTGACTAATTTGACTTAACCTAAAAATCACTGTTTAAAATTTAACTTACTTTAATATTTAAAAACTGAGACTTTACTGAACACAATGACAAATCAAATAAACGAGAGAGAGAGAGAGAGACCAACTAAAGTCTACTAAAACTAAAGAAACACTTCTGAAGAATACAAAACTAGAATAAAGTAGCAAAAGAGACAAAGACTTTCTTCCTTAGCTAATGTAACCACAAATACATACATCAAATATCAATCACGACGAAAAACCTAATGTCCTAAATATATTGGGCTAATCCATGTAATCCTCTGAGAGGAACTAGGCCGTGATTTCGTCACAACCCACAGTTTCGATCGCGATTAGATAAGGCGACATGAAATGCGTTTAAATACTAGTCGATAACAAACATGAGGCCATTTGAAGTAACACTTCCAAAGACAATTAAAAAAGAAATCAGTACTGATATTTAATTACAATTATGTTTTCACGAACCTAGAATAAATCATATATACTACTATTTAGTGTAATTATCTATGCACTTTTTTTTAGGCGAGGATCGATGGTTCTAACTACGACTCGTGGTAATGAAAATAGTACAAGTGGATCTATCTGTAATATCATAATGTTTATTAATTGATAGTGAACTAGAGGTATAATCATTAATAGCATACCAAAACTACAGCCAATCTGTTTCTTCTTTATTCAATAAGGAGATGTTACACAGAATCGACCTTTCTGGGGTGAAGACTCTTACAATGGCCCGATCGATTGCCAATTAACTGGGGTAAATGTGAAGTGAAAGGGGCAATAAACTGCTGAACTGAAACAGTTAGCAATCCCGTATTAGGAAGAAAAGGACGGTGCACTAACTGCCTACATTATAACTAGTTACTGAGCACACTTACATTTGCCTTGGTACTGAAAATTCGCTAAATAATAATCAAATAGGTTATGCAGTTATATCGCGACAAAATATTAAACAACCCCACATACATTGCTCAGATTCCAAAATGAGTAACTAAAGCCCCAGTATTGTGGAGTATCTGAGACAACGAAGGAACCAGAACACACAAACCCGAGACAATATGAAAAAGTCCTTTTTTCTACATTGACCAGACCTGGAATCAAACCCGGGACCTCAGAGATAACGATTGTGATAGTAGATTTGCTATTGAAAGTATTGAAAGAATTTGTCTGAAATTTTAAAGAATTTAAATCCGGGCGACTGTTTTAACAGTTTGAGCTACCTGAGACTTGGCAGAAATGAAGAAATTCTCAAGCACATATTATTTTCCCTACTAGGCAATTAAAAAAAAACATTTTTGTGTCATGTAAATATCAGTACAACATTATGCATGTAAATTTATCGAAATAAATCACTCTCACAGTCTGTTGCAGAAACGGTCGACTTCTAATGCTAATGCGACTTCTAATGAATGTTTCAATATTTGTATCTGTAAAGAAAGTCTCTATAAAGTAATGATAATTTAATTGACGTTTGTCCAACTAAAAACAATAGAAGCGGGAAGATCCTGTTCTGCAATCAACTAATAAAATCCAAATTCTTCGATATCAAGACCACGAACTGGAACTGATACTTGATCATCGATCAAACAAAAATAATCGTTACTTGTTCTCTTGCCTCCACTGACACATCGCTGCTTGTTTATCTTGCGGCGCCTCTTTTCAAGAGCCATTTAAGCACTTTATGGGGATAAAACTTAATTTCTCGCCGTCCGCACACAATCGCCACTTGTAAGCAACATCTTAACTATTATCGCGAGTTTACGATATAGTAACTGGGTTTTATCAGCTAATTAACTGCTTGCTGCCCTGCGAAGGTAGTGGCCTGCTTAAGGAACTCGAGTACCGGGATTGAGGATATGTCATATTTACAATCTTTATACGTATTTACATTAACAATGTCCAAGATTATTTATCAATCTACTTCGGTTTATTGGGAGGTTAGCCTGGGATTTCTTAATTTTAATTATCGAAAAGGAGTTTTTTTTTTTAATTACATTCCAATGAGGAATTTGATATAGGTACTTTACTTTAAACTTTTTCATCTTGCTTAGTCAAATAATCATAAAGAAAGAACAGGCAATAGCCCTCCATATTGAAGCGCATCAAATACTCCGTACTTTATTATAAATTGGACACCCAACCGAAGATCTGTCTTTGAGAAAATTGCTTAAGCTGTTTAATCACTACACCATAAAGCTTCACTATACTCACCTTAAGGTCTTTAATAATTTTAATGATGCTATACTTACTAAGAATGAGAGAGCAATTACATTATATGTATACTAAACCTATACATCGAGGTTTCATTTAAACGACAATGTGTGCGTTTTTAGAGTACATACTAAGGCATCAAATCGGGCCAGGAATTAAATTAATCGCTCTATATAGCAATCGAAATCCAAAAGTAGCGTTACAACTGTATTACGCAATAAACTATCAACAAATGCAGTGCACATATTTTCGCTCTAACAGTTTTACTAATACTTAATACTAGTTTTACTTTACTAATTGTATGTGACATCAGTAACTAAGTATAATATCGGCTAAGTGCTAAGTCCTAAATGTGATGATGTAGCACACATAATATTTATCATAAAACTTAAAACCAATCAAAATCAGACAAGTAATCAGATATCTCTTAATTTTATGCCGAGAGTATGTTACATTTTTTTATGGCCCAAACGAGTGGTTTCACGTTTATTATTCTTACTTATATACATACTGGGAATTTTATAAAAATGGCGTATTGTAATTTGGAGAACTTCGCGCAGAATTATTATCATAAACGAATACAAATTTTAATTCTGTTACCGTTATACTTATTTAGGGGATTGCATTCGTTGGCCTTAAATACTTTGTTGATTTGTGATAACCGATAAAATAACTACAAATCAAAGTGTATATGAAGAGTAACTTGAAGAAAAGGAATAGACAATCCGTATAATAGTGAATGCATACAACAATATAGGTCGCCTGCGGGTGCCCTTTCTTTTCTCCCATTCTCTAGATAACCTACCACTTAGATGACATTCCGAGTGCTTAGCAATAAAAATTTTAACTGCTTTCTCATGAAACACAGTTATTATTGATTGCTTGCCGAGACACAGTAATCACGCAATGCTTAGCAGTTTATGGAAAACTTGAACCTGCCAAGGAACACTACTTTTATTTTCTGACTTAAACGATTTATTCAATAGTATAAAGTAAGACACACAACATTAATCAAATTACTTTTTAAATAATTGTTGACTCGTTAAGTACCGCCGTATTTTTTTTTCGAGTTTCGTGCATCAGAACAATAACGGAATCCTCAACTAGATAATCAGCATTATAATAATAATGAGACTCTCAACGAAAACAAGGGACAAAGGCATTACGAAAGAATCTATTAAAAAACTGATTACGAAATGTTGGTAAGATTACAAAAGGTTAAGACTCCGTCGCACTCACATTTCAGCGGGCGCACTAACGAGAGAATACGGAGTAGTCACGATAAATGGCCGCCCGGGGTGATCATGGGCACGCCATTTCCCAACTGACCCAACTAAATATGAAAAAAAATAACAAGAAAACAAGCATATTTACCTACACCGCAAAACAAACTTTGGGTTATGAATTTACAAATGTCATAGGATATACAAATCTCTAAACAAACAATTTACAATTTATTTATCAAAGAGAGGCGGAATGTAAAGTGATTAAATGCTTTAGATTAAAATAATGTTATGTTAATAATGAATCTGTTAGCAGATAGACTCAACAATTTTGAATTTAATATTTTCTTGCGCTTTTAGGTTACACCAGATGTCTCAAGTCAATCTATATATGCATGTAGATGATTGATTTATGATGTTAAATTGTCAAACGCTCATTATAATACAACCCGGAATCGTCCTGTACTCCACGTACTTCGACAACACGTCTAAAACTTTACAACCATTACGAAACTAGTACCAATAACACCTACTAGAGTCAAGTCTTAATTTCATGTTTGTATCCGTTTATCGTCGTCTTGCTTGCACTGATAAGAATTATCAAATATTACTGCAACATGTCAAACAGATGTTTTTATTATTTATCCATGCACTCCACACAGTAATCATTACGTTTTATTGTTAATATGTGCATCAATAAATTGACTTATAAAATTGACTAACTGTTCTAAAAAAAAAGTCTAATCAAAGGTCAGTCGATCCGGCGACGATTACTAAAAAAGTAATAAGTAAAGATCGATTGAGTTCTCAAACGTACCTCCATTCGGGCGACGCGCACGCAACAGTAACGGTAACATTCATAATCATCTGTTACCCGATGGTGATCAGTGAAAACGAAATTCGTACAATATCAAAATCTAATAAGGACGCGACGCACCGTGAAAGCGAGATCGCAAAAACATCGCGTCACGTCTGCTGACGCCAAACACATCGTTGTGCTCCGATACGAAATGGTCCACTCTTAATAACCGTTTAGAAAGTTGTAATTTTCGTTATTAAAGACGATGTAATTTGGTGGGTCAGAAGTTCGAGGCGATCACGCGCTTCCGTGCTCCGCACGCAAAAACAAATAGTTTTATACAAACAAATTATACCAGCACTGTAATGTTTACGTGTAATAATGGTTAATTTATCTGTAATTACCTTAAAAACCTTTCGAAAACTCACTTTACAGTAATATTAATATTAGGCGACTTCTAAATAACCGAATATGTACCTATACAAATAATGCCAATCAAAAACAGGTTTCTAATTATATTATAACGAATATATTTCACTGTCAAAAATATCGGTCAGAATGCAGGTGAGAGTACAAAACAATGCACATTCGGATAGAACATTCACACGTGTCCCTCTCTCAGGCATCTTCAGATATAAAAATGAAACTGTTCTCTGCGGTTCCCATTATCTGGGTGGGTCATCGCAACACCACCTTACTTTGGTTTCGAACGAAACGCAATCATAGAGTTATGGTCACTTATTATACTTGATCATAGACAGAAGAATTTCACCCATTAAGATCGACGCTCGCTACCGAAGGTCATAATTTTTGATTTGATAAGGCCAAACATGCCGTTAGAAAAGCACGAACAATGGGTCGTGAAAAAAATCATGTATAATTTCGGTAGACCGAAGACTGTGCCACAAATGGCCCCGCACTCGGTCCTGAGAGATTGCTTTCAATAGACTCAATGGCCGCATGAATGGATAGCTATCGAAGACGAAAAATGAAATTGGTAAAAAGAAATAAATCAAGAGACATGATGAGGAGTGTGATACAGATAAGAATAGAAAGCCACAACGAGAGAGGGTTTCAATTTGAAGAATAGATCACAATTCTCGCTTGAAACGAGCAAGAAAAGCAAACGAACTTTAAGTTTCAATTTTACTGATATTAGTTTTTGTATTAGTACAATAAGTTACAATTAATCCCCAAAAATAAAAATAAAACAAAGATAATTTAAAACATTTAATACATTATAGAATTATAGCGCTTCTCATCATATTTTTTCATTATATCTATCATATTTGACATTAATTTTATGTCAATAACTTAATGGTTGTCCTGGTACATCGAACATAGCTTAAACATGAAATTCTCAAGCCTACACAAACTATATGAAAACTCTTCGACGTTCCGTGAGCAAATTGGCAGCCCCGGAGAAAGAGAAACTGGATCACAGACTGGCAATCGAGTAGATATTCAGAGTAAATAGACTAGTATTAGTAATGAAAGTGGTGAAATAATGAATAAATGTGCAATACAACAAATTGAAATGGATAACGTTCGTGTGAATCGAGTCGCGGGCAGATTGCAAACTGCGATATACGATATGGAGTTAATCAGAATGCATCTAACTTGCTCCCTGGTAACGGTGTGATAGAATGCTATGATAATATTGTGACGTGAACATTTGCGTAATTGATTCAAATTCAAATTGTCGCTATGCAGCTGATGAAACAGAGCTTTTTACAAGCCTTTATTTAACTCGCCTTGTTAGTATGTTAGTGCGCAAATCTTGGAACTCAAATTTGACCCATTTGCCATTGTCCTATCGATATAAAATTTTCTATTGTCATGTAAGTCAGATGGCAGTGCCAGTAACCTGATAAGATGATGAAGTCATGGGAACTTAGCGATGAAATAACTCAACTGCATGTTTGGTCTCTTTAGATCAGTATTTATAAAAAAAACAATATGTATATATAAGATTAACATGAAAAACAACTTGCAATACAGATTCTGTGCTAGAAATTAATAAAATGAGACAAAACTAAAAATAAAACATAATATAAAAAAAATATTTCAAAAAAATTTTTCCAGTCATTTTATAAATTAAAAAATTTTTGCTTTTGAAATATTATATAATTTTATGATTTAAAAATATTGAATATCCAAAAATGTATTATTCATTGACACATCAACAAAAAACCTAAGAAATAATTAACTATTTCATTAAAACACCTTATTACTGCGATGTTTAAAAACATGACTATCCTAATTCATTTAACGCTTTCCATATTGGATGTACGAAATGTTAATTGAGTCCAACCTCGGCCGATGTGCACGTCCATTTAAATTCTAATCATCCCTCACGTCCACTAGCCACGGATCATTATTCATCACAAATCATTAGAAAGCTCTTACACGAGAAAACTGAAGCTAACAAGGAATG